ACAGCAGACATGTTTCTGAGTCCGTGGCCAAGAGGTTGGTGTCCCAAGTTCGGCTGTGCTGTGCGCCGCTTCAGGCGCCACGCCTTCAGAAAGGTGCGCCATTGGGGCCGGTGGCACGGCTTTGGGTGCGCTCGCCAGCGAAAAAGGGGGCGCGGCATCTGGGAGCGGCGCGGCTGACGCCGCGCCACACTGCTTAAGTTTACCGCGCGCAACGCCGCGCCCGCCAATTTTTTGCAAAATTGCTTTCTTGAACGCAACATAAAAAAAACAGCTTGCCAAAGCTGCAGCATCCAGTCAACATTTTTTTGTTTTGTGAAACTTGCCCTGCGCATTAGTTGTTAGCAACCAACACTTGCTGCTTAATTGAAAAATGCCAGTTTTTGAAATTCTGAGAACGTCAAAAAAACAGCTTAAAACATCGGTTCTGCTTCCGTTGCTGTGATGCTTGCCTGTCATTGTTTGGCAACAACACAACAGGCTGGCCAAATTGAAAAAATGCCAATTTTGCACTTCCTGGCAACTCAAACGTCAAAGAAAACAGCTTGCTAACTCCCAACAAATGTCGCTTCCGCTAGCACAAGCTGCAACATCAACACAAAAAGCTATTTTCGTGGCACTTCAAGCAAAGTAACAAGTCCACATGGACCTTGCAAAGCTCCAGGCACTTCCACAGCTTCGACAGAAAAAAAGTCCATCCAGGCAGTGCGTGTTCACCACAGGCAACAAAAAAAACAAGACACTTGCCCAAATCTGCATGTCATGCAAATTGCTTCGTGTCTCGAAAATTGCATCTCGACCAATGACGCCGAATGACTCTGTTCGTTCTGTCTCTGCATAGAAGTGCATCCAACACATTCACGGTGCCAATAAGTTTGTGGTGACAAAAGTGACGACGATGATGCTGCTTTTCTCGCGTTCAGCCCTTCTATAACTTGCTGCGCACGAAAAAAGTTTGGCAAGATGTGCATTCCAGGCGGCTGCAAGATGGAAGTGCAGACAGCATCACTTTGATGGTTTTGGTTTGTTGCTTTTGATGGTAATTAAGAAACATGCACTTACAGTTTTTTTTTGTTTCTGGTCTCAAATTCTAAAAGCGCATGGCAAGTTCTGGACAGACTGCCAGGCATGGTATAGACGATCCATGGAGTGTTAGTGGGCAATTTCTTTGTGCTGGTCAATTCTCTTGTTCGTTTTTTGTGTGCTGCAGCTTTCTTCTTGTGGGAGAGATGCAAAATTGTTTAGGCAGCACCACCTCTCTGGACAACAATGAGCTGATTCGTTCAGTCTCAACTCCGTGTCTTTTTCTTTTCTTTTTGCAAACTAGCTGCGCAGTGTCACGAATAAGGGCCAATTGTCGAAACACCTTCTTGAGCGTTGTGCTGCGGTGTTTTTAGAAAGTGCTTGCATAACAAGCAATGTCAATGAAAACGACAAGAATGCATTGTTTTATGGACGTTTCAGGTTCAGAGATGGGTTGAATTTTCACTTTTCAAGACTAGCAACGGACATCATTGCTTTTATTCAAAGTGCTTTGCAGCACTCCACTCACCCTGGCCGTTCCCAAAATCTTCATGTCTTGCGAGCAATCGCACGAAGTTCTTGCTGTTCTGTTTTCGCGTCTGGTTACATCTTCAAAGAATCGTTTTGGAGTCTGGAGTGTTGTGAATGCAACCTCTAATGCAGCAGTGCGTAGAGCAAGGCAAAGCCGCATGGGGAGATCTGCTGAATGCACAGTAGAAAAGTCTAAATGTCTGCATCCCTGTCCCTTTATGCGGTTGTGTTTGTCATTCACAGTCCCACAGTAGGCTTCGACAAAAACGCTTGTCGTGAGTTTTTATCTTTGCATTGCCCCGCGCCGCACGGCATCTTAAGCTGTCGATCGAGAGCGGGGGCGCGAACTACTTTCTTGCCCAACCCTGAGATCCGGGCAGAACGGCATCTGCTCAACATCACATTTGCCAAGCACCTTCCACTTTACACTGGCACCGCTTTGCCTCGCACCGACTTCACCAACTTCTGCGAGTACAAGCAAAGTGTCTACGTCTCTTTGTGCGTGGTAGTGATAGTGCTAGTGACTCCCAGTAGGCTTCGACAGAGAACAACATGCTCCCGTCTTCAATCATGCATGGTGATTGCACAGCTTGCACAGAAATTTGGAGAGATCGTGCGGTGGAAGCAACAGTTGCTTTTGGTTGGGGATTCGACAGTGCACTATGCATAGTACATGACATATCCAGAGCAGTGAAATTGGAGTGGTGAAAGGCACCGGGGTAGATTCCTCATTGGAGAAATTTTGTCGACTTGCACATAAATTTGGCTCGATCTTGTCAGCACAAGCCAGCTTACACCAAGAAGCTGTAAACGGACAACCGGAAAAAAACCATGGGACCTGAGTTTCATGAATACTTTGCCAACCACTTGAGCGTCTTGAAACATCAAATGCTTGGTGACGAAAGCCATGAAATCACGAAGGAGGCTGAGGGGCTGACATTTCATGTTGTGTAGCACCAGCTTCACGACTGAATCGCTTAATCAGGTGTCTGCCCTGACCTTGGATCCGAAATGGTGCGCCCGCAGAATGCTGACTGTGACTGATCACTTTTTCTGGGTAGGCCGATGTTTCGCAAGTCGGCACATATGTTTGGGATGACCGATTTGCAGATGTTGTGCTTCTGCAGAACATTGATTGAATTTTTGTCGGCGACGATGTGCTTGCACACTTCGTGCCGCGGAGGAGCTATTGTATGCGCATCCCAAGCCGGTCGTTGTTGACTGGCCGATCGAGGTGCCGCATGGGCCTTGTTTCGTTGTCAGTTGCTTTCGATTGTTGAAAGGTGGTCGTGGTGTGGACCTTCCGAAGGGCAGCGGCCTTTGAGTGGTGGCGCTCTTCGTTTCACACCGGCAAATGAAAGTAGGGCAAGAAGTGTGGTCAGTTGCATGGACGCGTAGTTTGCAGGCGGTTTCTTTGGGTTTTTTGAGCCGTCACCATTTTTTAACAGCTGTCGAAAGTAAGAGCAATCGAAACTACAGATTTCGACAAAACCCTCCGTTGAGCGTTTGCTCAGGACATGTTTGGATGGACTCGTGGCATGGCAGTGAGCTGAGTTCATGTGGAAACTGTGTGCCCCTCAAAGATTTTGCCTGTGGCTTCTTCGCTCTGTTAGGTTGCGGACGTTCTGCTTCACGCAGCGGCCTGACTCCGAAGAGGTTCATCTAGTGAATCTAGTGTCAACTGTCGTTCACGCAGTCGGGGGGTGAGCAGGTTGACTTGTTCCATACCCTTGTCGCAGAAGTGCACAGGAGCGAGTTTATTTCGAGAAGACCGTGGCTTTTCTCAGGTCTGCTCTGTTCTCAGACCAGGTCAAAGCTAGCCTTGACAGGACGCGTCTGTACTCCTCAGATCTCTGATACAGCATTGGCCGCATCCCGTTTTAGCATGGTATCAAGTTGTTCACGATGTGATGATTTCGCCACTTCTGCATGAGTTGAGTTTCTGAGCAGTTCTTGCAGCACTGAGGTGCCCCTTTTCAAGCGGCAGTTGCCTAGCTGCGAGCTTCCGAAGCTCGCAAGAGACCTGAAGCGCAAAATGTGGAGGCTTGCGGTTAGTTGCTTTTTCGTTTCAGCGGGACAGCCTTGGTGCATTATGTGCCAGTGTTGTTAGGCTGTTAGGCATCAAAGCAGTGCACCTGTCGTCCCACGCACGAAGCAGCCAAGCAGCAGCATGTGTGATATTGTGTGATGCTCACACTCGGCAAGAGTGTGCTTCGACATACCCTCGTGGACTTACTCACAAGATAGAGACTGCTGTGATGCAGACATGCCTGCTCATGACCAGGCCAGGTGAGAAGATCGTGAACCAGGGCGAGGCCCATGGCGATTGTGTTGTCTGGAACCTCGTCAGACGATGTTTCTAGAAACAACATAAAAACACCATGCAGCGAGTGTGAGAAGGTCGGAAGGGCCTTCTACCTCATCGAGTCGGGAGTCGCCAGTGTGATTGTGGCAGACTGCGACGGCCAGGCCCAGCTGGTGCCTGGCAAACTGATGAGCCAGTTTCTGTCAATCAACAGTATTTTGCTGTGATGAGGAGAAGGTGAGGGCAACGCTGATTGCGGGTGATTACTTCGGAGGCCTGCAGCAGCATCTATTCTGGAGACGTGACGATTCTTGGTCGGCTTTCGGTTGGAAGGTTGTAACGTTCCACAAAACAACCGTCGGCACACACCTGCTGTTAATTTTCGTTCACCTGCATCTCGTTTAGCGGTACATGGTACAAGCGGCTCTCGCGGTAAGGTTTGTCGGGGGATGGCTACAGTGGCAGCTTGGAAATGTCTTCTCAGGCCACACTCTTGTAGCCGAGAGATCAAACGTCGGCTGCTGCCTCAGGCTGCGCAGTCAACGTGAGGATCTCGCAATTGAGCATGGTAAGCGCACGGCCTTGCAACCTCGTCGTGCCTCGAATAACTCTGCAGGGACCGCTCATGTTGCAAGTCAGGTAAGTTGTGTAGGTGATGCTGCGAAGCAACCCTAGGCCCTAACGTTCGAGTCCTTTTTTTTGCTTGCAGTGGGCAATCTAGAGAGGACTCAAATGGCTGACAGGGCATCCTGAAGCCAACGTGGGGCGACCCACAAAAGCGCACAAACGGAAACCACAGGGGTGGTACGTCCCGTCATGATTCTCTTTTATAAGCCTTGCAAGTCGGCATACGAAAAACAGCTTGTACTTCGGATAATGGTGAAGGCACTTGAGACAAACTACTTTGCCAGGAGCTGCATGGGCTCGATCTCCGAAATTTGTAATGTTTTGACACTAACCCTGAGTGTTTACGGGACCTGACCAAATAATGAGGTACGTAGTTTCATAGGTGAGTATTCGGGAGAGTCAGTGTAGGACAGTTAGGTGCTTGGACCCTTAAGGGTTCGGATCCTGATCTTACATGCCGCTTTAAATAGCGTTTCAGTGTCTTCCTGTGCCTTACCCCCCCAGGTACTGTGGTTGCTCAAGGTCCGGAGCAGCTGGTGACACTCTCCATGTCCCGCCGGGCGTTGCTGGCATGTTGGTGTGCAAGTGTGTGCTTGGTAAATGCGCTCGACTCGAAGGCTGCAAGGATGCAAAAGACAAGCTGTTTTCATCTGTTTTTTCGGCATGTGATCGGCCCTCTTTGTTAGAAGCTGTGTGATGCGCGTGCCAGGTTTTCGAAGAGTCTGGCTTGAAGGACAGGGCCCAGATGTTTTGTTTGCTGCATTCCGGTGTGTGTTTTGCGGTGCCCCGCCCAGGACAAGCTGTGCTTTCCGAAGAGACCAGCTCTCTACTTCGACCGTCCGGGACGGGGCCGGGCCCGGACCTTAGGCCGCCAGAAAAGACGAAAACGCCGGGCGCCTCTTCTTTGCCTCTTCTTTCAGGACCCTTCCATCCCTTCCTTTGACCTGGCAAACTGTGTTGTGGAGCCACATGAGCAGGCAAGTGTTTCCCTCTGGAAATCGTTAGGAGCAACACCTTGCCGGAGGGATTTGCTTTGGCAGGCCTTTGTGCTGGAAGCCTTGAAGCAGAACGTCAATTTGCGGGCCTTGCACAATGTTGCTCGTCCGCAAAGCCGTCGAAACTCGTGCGAGCAAAGCTCGAGGGCGAGTGCGGTACCACGTGCCGCTGTGAGCTGTTTGCAACCGTTGCAATCCATGGAGCTAGCAGGCGATGCATCTTGTACTGGTGTAGCCGTTGGGGCAAGCTGGTTGGTCAGCGGGAGGTGATGCTAGCCAAAATCTGTCTCGCAAGGCTCTGGATTCGACCTGCCAGTAGGTTCTAAGGGTCAAACAGTACCCAACACAAGTTGCTAGACTGCTAGACATCCTGAGCATGTTTTCTCTCAGTTTGTCTCAATCTTCTTTGGGCATCCACGGCTCGCTGTGGTCCCTCGAAGGCTTCTGACTGCCTTCAACTTCAGATCCTGCACATAAGCAGCCCGCAAGGTTGATAACGAGGTCATGCAAAGCATTGCTCGCGCCTCCCGGCAGAAGATGGTTTCGAGAAGCGAGCTGTCTAATGATCTGCATATGCTTGCGAAAGTCGTGTTGTTACTGTAGTCGAAAGTCTTCGTGTAAGCTTCATTGAATGCCAGTCATGGAATCAGTTCCAATGATTGCTGGTAGCATCAGGTAAGGGAGTTGAAATGATGTTGGAAGTGACACCACGGGTTGTGGACTACAGCCAGAATCGATAGCAAGAATCACTGGAGACAGGCAGATTGACGGCCTGGAGCCGTCTGCAATGAAATGCCTTCCCATGCTCAGGGCGCCGTGCGCCGATTCGTTCCCAAGGCTTGACGCAAGGGGGACGGGCAATCGTGACTCTGTGGACTGCCCCGCTGTTTCAATTGCTCAGCCTGTTGATCCGCCCGGGAATGCGAGGGCACAGTTGTGGCTCAAAGTGGCGCTCTCGGAAAGGACGGTCATCTTGCGCTTGTTGCATCTGTGCATTTCATGGTAGTGATGCTAGTGAGTAGTCATTTTAGTTTGCCGTTGATCCAGAGGAGTTCTTCATCATCAAGACAGGCAGGTTCCATGCCGTGGCCTGCAGCCCCGGTGACATCTTCTAGTACTTGACAGACATCTCATTAGTGTTGTCTGTACGAAGGCCAATGAAGTCATGTCGGAGCCGAGGCAGAAACAGACGCCTATGACGGCCAGAAGTCAGCAGAGGTTGGATGGCATGTGCAAGAGTCTCTGGTTCGGCATTGCCTGGTAAGAGATGAGATCATTGGTTCAACGTGCACCGGGAGGCCACCGTAGCCCAGCTGACGATGTCGGACTGCAGCCTGTCTGGGTTTTGGAGCTTTCGCCGTGATCGTGCTGTGTGCTTGCAGGAGCGTCTGAAGCGAAAGCAGACCTTTCTCAAGAGCTTGTGCCTTGATTGCATTGCCAGCACGTAGGCCCACGTCCGAGATGGGTGCCAGGGTGCCTTGCAGGTGCCGGCACAAAGGCTCCAACACGCCAGGAACCAAGAGGCCGCACAGGAACCCGAGAAGAGTCTTGGGGAGCACAGGAGGGCCTCATGTTTCGTTGTGTTGACGTTGGAGCCTAGGTTTAGCCACTCGCAATCTGTGCGGTTGCCTGCTCCAAAGGGGCCAAAGGCACGTGCCATGCTTTCGTGCGGCGGAGCACAGACTTGACTTCCATCGTCTTGTGCAGGCTATGGCTGACTGGGCTGATGACCTGAGCATGGCCTGTAACTCGACACCCGTCCACCTGCGCGGCTGCCCCTCTGCCGGGGAGCTTAAACCTTTACGGAGTTCAAGAGAAATGCAGTGGAAAGAGTGCACCATGGAGCACAGAAGTTCCATGTGCCGGACGTGGCAGGCTGCTTCCACGATGACATTGCCGTCACCTTGCAGTGACGCCGGCAGGCAGGTTCCAGATTCCAGTGTCTGGTTGCCCGAAATTTTTGAGGCATCTGAAAGTGCAGGAGTTCCTGCCAGAAGCTGCCCTATCAGACCCTGAAGAAGACTCAACCCGCGACAGCCCTCAGCCCCTTCGACCCCAAGCCCTGGCCGCAGATAATCGATGCCTCTTGCGGTTTTCCTTGTGCGGTGTCGGGCTTGCTCGAAAAGCCATCCGGCGAGTTTCCCTCGCTGGTGTTGCCAGTCTTTCCAGCCTCTTGGCTCTGGCGCCTCCTGGGATCTAGGGGCCCAGGGACCCAGGTGCCCATTCAAGGCGTGAGAGCTTGTTGGCCATGCCATGACTCTCTTGCACATTGCTGAGGAAGCCCTGGGCCCCATGAATCTTTGAACCCTACTGAACCAATTTCAATTCCGCGGCATGTTTCGACTTCGGGATTCGCGAAATGAGGCCGACCACTAAGGTGATTGAGATCTGCTCCTGTGTGCAATTTTTTGCAAAACAATGTAGGTGCCGGAGTCGAACATGTGGTCCGTTCATAACGAGGGACACATCTGAACGCTCGAGTGGCTGTGCAGGACACCTATGAGTACAGTGGCGTCACAGCGGGATTTTGGTGTCCAGAGCTTCCAGGCAAGTGTCACGCAAAGATTTGATGGGCGAACATCTTGTACTTCACCTGTGAGGTTGGCGACAAGGTGACCATGTCTGTGACCCTGTCATGCTTAGATTCCTGGGAACTGTAGGTGCTCCAGGCGCCTCTTGAAACGGCGGCCCTTCAGTCAGTGCAGTTTTGACGAAACGAAAACGGATGCCGGGGCGAGAAACGGTCGAGCAAGGGTGCATCCATGATGCATCATGATACCATTCAGGCTTTCCGGGTGAAGGCGTTTGCAACTTTGGGCGGCGAGTCTAGTTCCAGCAAAGTGCCTTGCAGCGTGTTTTCTGAGTTTGATGCCACCATGCTTAACAATTAGAGTCACGCAGTGCCAGGATGTCAGGGCGTCGAACGATGCAGTACTTTTTGATGGAATCTTGAACTGATGCTGATCTTGATGGCAGGATCGGGATGAGGGCAGCTGTGGCCAAGTGGGCACAGCCGCGGGCTTTTCAGGATTGTAAGACAACGGATTGAAGATAAACCCAGGTTAAAGCATTGTCATGTGATCATGTGTGCTCTTCCATCCAGTCCATGTTCTTCCATGCGATCCTCGACAATGCAATCCTCAGGATAGCTTCCGTGTCTTGAATCGAAAAGATCGCTTGCTGTCGCGAAAGGTCTCGGAATGTGGCCGCGATGGAGTCGGACGACCATGGGTCAAGGCTTGCTTTTTGCTTTTTGCTGGGGCTTCTGTGTGCTGAGGACTCGTATTGCCCATAGCGTACACCAATCGTGGTATTGTTTTCTGTTTGCGCTTGACAAACATAGCAGCATATCCACGACTAGACAGGTTACCTTCCAAGGGGCACTTGGCGAGTGGCTGGCAGGGGCACCTAGTGACTGGTGACGAATCCGACGGCTGGGAGAGTCGATAGCCTACAGGTGCTAGCAGCGGTTGTCTGTCTGAAGGAGCATACAGATCGCTTGGAGTCCTGCGTTGCATTAAGAAGACGGCGGCCGTGTAAAGTTTCCCATCGAGCAACTTGGCCGCTGCTGGCTCGAAGTTTTCCACCCTGGCTGCCTTCACAACCCACTCTGCCGCGGACTTGGGCCGCACCATTACTTGCAAAGCTGCAAGCTTTGGTTGTTTTGAGTGAGCTATATGCCTCGTGAGCTTGAGGCTTGAAGTCATGCCGAACAAACGCTCCGGTGGCGTGCTGGCGCGGCACCTGATGCCGTCGTCATGTTGATAGGCAAGCATCCCCGTGGCCGAGGTCGTGGCAGCTCTAGCTGCCTTTGTCTCAGCCATGGCCTTTGTGGCGCCCCAGGCCCCACCAGCCCGCGGGACCCTGTCAGCCGTGCAGATGCAGGTCCGGGAGGAACATGAGCATGCTTTCGTGAAGATCGAGGCAGCCGCTCTCCATTCCCCCCGTTGCGTGCTGACAGGCTGGAGGCGAGTACACCGGCTTCGTGCCAGACCTG